AGGCATCTCCACAGCTGGGAGAAAATGCAGGCAGGCAACTTGAAGTGAGATGGGACACAGGTCTCCCTCTTATGCTCCACTGGTTCTGAAACATGTGACTGGGAAGTCCCCTCTCCGTCCTGAATACACCACCCGCTGTCATTCCCACGTGTTGTTTTTATTTGAACTTTGCATCCAATTCCATATCAATACTCCCTGGGAGATTTCTCCCCAGGTTGAAAACACACATCCCGCTTCCAGGCATCTGCTTCAAGTTTCCTGGATGGCCCAGTAATGTGTTTGTTTAGCTCACTTCGAGTTAGACTATAGATTTTGCCAGTGCCTTTTGAACACTGACCTCAGGATGTTTGTTTTTTTTAAAGTTTGTGTCTTATCTCATTTCCTCTGAAAAAGTCTCACTTTTCACACCTTGGCTGAGGCCTGAATAAGCAGCTCACTAAGCCAGCTGAATATCTTATGCCAAAGTGTGAGACTAAATTGTTTGTAGTTAGAAAATCATAACTGTTCTGTAAGGCAGTTTTTCATCAAATTGCCACAGAGACCATCCAAGCACTTGGACAAACACGCAGTGAAGTGCATCAGCCGTCCTCTGTCTCTCTCTGACTTACAAGTGCGCACAAGTGGTACGAAGTGCAATGATTCCCAAATGTGTGGGAAGCACCTGGGAAACTTGTTAAAATGCAAATTCTGAGACCACATCCTTTGAGATCCAGACTCAAAGTAGCTGGGGGAGGCCTGGGACTCTCTTTTCAGCTGACAGTCCTCACCCCTCACCCTTATGATGAAATGGTTTCTAGATCTGAACACGCTGAAACTCCTGTCAACGGCAAAAGGAAGACCTTTCTCTCTGTCTCTCTCTCTCACTGTCCACTCTGCCTGTCAAAAATAAAAAAAAATAACAAAATAAAAAACAAATCTGGCTCTTGAACATTTCAGATCTGCCTTTGAGATCTTCCTAGTCTGGTGGGATGACCTTCTGAACTGTAGCTTCCCTCAATTGCTGATGACAGGTCTTGTGAGCACTCAACAGGTTTGGCACAATGTGAATGTTCAATAAATAGCAGCTCTTATTGTCAAATGATTATCTTCTAAAGAAACACTAAAGAAATGAACACAATAGAGAACTGAATGACATCTTTCTTTGTGTGAGGTCAGAGTGATCTTGGTCTAAATAAAAGTAAAGGCAAAACCAGGAGCACAGTAGGAAAGCCAGAAAGAAAACGCATAGCTCTATTGCTTCTGATTATCTGTAGCATGAACTTCTCCCTTAATTTGGTACTCTCATCAGCGCCATCTTTGCTCAGCATCTTTCAAGAGGGGTCTCATGTTGATTTCTTCAGGGAGGGTGGCCTTCCTGGTCTGTAGGTTAAACCCACAGCACAGGTCACTTCCCCTCCATATTTACTACATGATACTGTTTATTACCACTTTAATGTCTGTCTTTTTGCTAGACTAAGTTCTTCTAAAGGGTGGGGTCTTTGTGGCCCATGCTTGTCCATAGCCTTATTTCCAAGGGTCAGAGTTTGAGCCTGATGCACACCTTGGTGGAAACAAATGAGTATAAGCAAGATTCTCTTTAAAGTCATTAGTACTGTTCATTTATGATTTCTCCGTCACAGCAGTTCCCTTCAAATGGACCGTTTGAATAGCTTGCCAAGAAAATCCCTGCAGTGAACTCAGTAACATGTAAGCTTTCTTCCAGGCCACCAAATAGTTTTTTGGAACACATAAATGAAGTCTTAGGCAGATTTTTTGAAGAAGAGTAAAATCATGAGTTCTGTTTTGCCATTTGCAAGAAGTTAGATAAATTGCACAAGGAAACACCAGGTGACCCTGGTTTTAATTAGGTGTCAGTGAAACACCTGATGTTACTGTGTAACTGATGTACAACTATAGCCCACAGGACCTCCAAATAGGGGAAGGGAGAATTAATGAGGTGGAGACAAAATGATTTTATCTACCAATCTATTCCCAGTTATGCTGCATTTAATTTTTTTTTCCTTTTCCACATGGAGAAACTGTAGCTTGGCACTAGTATTCCCACAAAAGAGAGAGAGAGAGACAGAGAGAGAAAGATTCACCAGTTTCACCAGTTGAAGGAATTGAGCATTCTACCAGATCTGGTCTCAAAGGTTGGAGAAACAGCAAAAATCACACATTATTTCAGGTCTGGAAAAGCTGAGCTAATATTTTTTATCCATTGTCTTTCATTTTCTGGCTCTGGCCCAAAATAGAAAGCTACTTTTATATCCTTTTAAATGTGTTTCTTGGGAAAAACAAAACAAACAAGAAAACCACCTTCCAAGTGGAAGTAGGAACAGAAAATAAATGCAAAGCTCTATTTCTTTTGGCCTGGAGGAGGCTGCATTTGAATTTTGCTCATCTGGCTGGAATTTCCATTAGTGCAAAATGAAAGGCTACCTGGAGCTTTGAAAAAATAAAGCAAGAAGACTACTTAATTCTTCACCCTATATTCTAATTAATGTAGGCCTTATTGTAACTTAATTCTATCTATAGGATAATCCTGCTGACTGTAATTCTTTTACCTTATTATTTATTTGAAAGTCTGAGACCTGGGGGCAGAGAGAGAGAAAGAGAGACAGACAGAAAAAATGTCCATCTGCTGATTCATTCTCCAAATGCCTACAATGGCCAGAGCTGGACCAGGCTGAAGCTGAGAGCCAGGAACTCAGTCCTGGTCACCCACATGAGTGGTAGGAACCTAACTGAGCCACCAGAGGTGGGCATCGAACCTAGGCACTCCAGTATGGGACACAAATGTTTTAACCACTAAACACTGGCTCCAGACTCATTGCTTATATTCCATTCTTTTAAAAGAAAATCAGAAGAGTACCAATCTAACCACAGTTACCCTGTCCCAAGTATATAATTCACTGTGCAAACAGTTAAGCCTTTATTCTTTATTTGGCAAAGACATGAAAATGCCATTTTAATGTACTTCTAAACATTCCTCTATTTATTTCTTTGAGCCTACTTGTTTTCTCTCTTCTGAGGAATGGAGACGAAGTGTGTGTCCTGGAAAAATGCTAACATCCAGCTCTAGTCAGTCTCTAGCCCTGGGAGGTTGTTCTTTGAAGGTGCTGGATCCAACTAAGCAGATGGAAGCCACCACAACAGTTAGTAGCTTCAGCTTTCCCAGGCTTGTCACTTGTGATAAATAAAAAGGGAGAGTCAAAATGACAACAACCACATCTCCAGATGGGAGAGACTACAACTGTCAGGTGCAGGCACACACACTGGAGCTGGCACAGAAAAGAAGAACAAACATTCTGCCCTCTCCTCCACGCAGCCAGCTGCAAGAGAGGCATGACTTGACTGCAGCCGTTTGCACAGCGCATTTCCTCCGATGATATTTTGTAGCCAAAGAGTTTTGGGGAGATAACTCTATCCTGTTTCTTCTTTTGGAGAATCACAGTGTATTTAAATTGATCAAAGGCAACTTAATCATTTTTTTTTTTTTTTTTTTTGACAGGCAGAGTGGACAGTGAGAGAGAGAGACAGAGAGAAAGGTCTTCCTTTGCCGTTGGTTCACCCTCCAATGGCCGCTGCGGCCGGCACCCTGGCCACAGCAGAGAGCTGGCCTGGAAGGGGGCAACCAGGACAGAATCCGGCGCCCCGACCGGGACTAGAACCCGGTGTGCTGGCGCCGCAAGGTGGAGGATTAGCCTACTGAGCCGCGGCACTGGCATTGTTTATCTTAGCTTTTCTCACACTTGAGTGACCCTTGTTTTCTAGCACACCTATTAGTGATCATTGACCTTCTGCTGAAAAATCGTATCTCACCCTGTAAGCTTCTCCATGTGTCTCCTTCTGCCCTTCTTTGCATCTTATTCACTGAAAGGATGACCTGTTAGTACCCCTAATACCTTCCAATATTTCACATGTCACAAAACACGGAGAAACATCATAAAGTATTACAGGGGTTGTTGTTGTGTCATGGTGGCTTGTCACTTGCTTAGGATGCCTGATCACAGTACCTGGATTTGAATCAGGGTTACTCCACCTCCGATCCAGCTTACTGCTACTGTTGGGCACCCTGAGAGGCAACATAGAATGGCTCAGGTGTCTGGGTCCCTGCCACTCACATGGGAGAACTGATTGATCCAGGATCCTGGCCTTGGCCCGGCCCAGTCTCAGCTATTACAGGCATTTGGAGAGTGAACCAAAAAAATGGAAGGCCTCTCTCCATCTATGTGTATCTCTCTGCCATTTTGCTTTTCAAATGAACACAAATAAACATTAAAAATTATAATACTTGCTCTCTCTCTCTCTCTATATATATATATAAGTAATGGGCTCTTAATGTCTTTAACTTAATGTCTTTACTTTTTGACTTTTTTTTACACACTATAACGTATTTGTATTGTTCTATAAACCTACTAACTGCTCACTATCACAAACACTGGTGCAGAGGTGAGACTGCTTCCCCAGGGGGCTGAAGGGATCAGTAGCGTGGGGAAATCCATTGTGGCACAGCTTACTGCTTGGGAAATTCCACTGTGATGAGGTAGCAGGTGTGCAGAGGGTGACTCCACCTGGGCTACTGGGAATATCTGTGCACTGACTGTGGAGTCGTCTCACCCATCATGTGGGATCCTCGCGTACCTACTTTGCCAGTGTAAAGGCAGACCCAAGCTCCATCACCACGGCCCTTCCTTTCCCTGCCCACCCGACCCGAAACCTTGACCGAGAGCAGGGCTATGTCATCCAAATGACTGCCCTCATTTCCTGTGTGAGGTGCGTTTCATTTTTCCTGTCTTGGTTTCTGGAAGACACAGCAGATCAAGTGGAGGAGAACTGAGGAATGATCTATTAAGTCTCCCTCCAATATGTGGAGCGTTTTTACTTCCTTTCAATTAGGAGCAGGCTGTGAGAGGAAGCCCTTGCCCTCTCCCCACCCTGAGTGTCCAGCTTGTTTCCAAGCAGACAACCACTATTTCATTGTACTGTCAGAGCTACACACACTGGGAAAACGTGGGTGGCCAATGGCAGGGAAGAGTTTTATTCAAATAGGCTTATAGGTGCTGGTATGATTCCAGGTGTTTTCCAAATCTTGATACCACAGTTCTTATTCCCAATTTAAGACCTCTTGGCTCTTTTTTCATTGTTTCCCAGTAGACTATATTGTCTTTTATTTTCTTCAGAAGTCACCCACATTCATGGCTCAGAATTAAAACTATACAAATAAGCAAAAACAAAAAAAGTCACTTATAAATTCATCATCCAAATCAAATCATAGTTAAAACCCCAATGTGTTTCTTCCAGGCTTTCATCATGCATGAATATTCATAGTTTGTTTTAAAATGTTGGAATCTCCGTGCATAGTGCAATACACTTATCTGCCACCTACCCATGCATTGCATTTATCTTTAGAAAACATGAAAAGGTAACATAGCCTTGTATGCTGTCATTTCTAAAGGCCGCATTGACTCCTATATCACATCAGCAGCCCCTGAGTCCCTCCCCATCTGAACTCCATCCTGCTCCCTGGGAGGTAATCACCATGGTGGTTTTCATTTTTAATTTTACTGCTTATGAATGAATCTGCAATAAAAAGATCCACTTTTGAGCTCTTACAGAAATGGATTCATATTTTTGTGTCTGAGTTCTTTGGCTTCATATAAATTTGTCAAATTTATCCATGTTATTTGTTCAGTTTCATTGCTTCATGGCAAACAACTGTATGAATCAGGCATAATTTACCCATTGTGCACACAATGAACATCGCAGATTTGCAGTCATACAAACAGCCTACAATAATCCTGCAGTGTGTGCACCTGTTTCTTTCTATAACCCAAGATCAAAATCATTGAGCTGTGGGATAAATTTAACTTGAGGAGATGAGAAAAAAATGGCTGTACAGTTTATATCAGCTATATATGTGGGCTCCTAGTATTTTATATTCTCTCAACATACGGTATTTTTAGTTTAAAATGTTTTGTAAATTAGTATTTAAGCAAGAGTATTTTTTTCACATGCCAGGTTAATACAAGTTGAACAATTTTCAAAGATGAAGGAATTTCAAAAATTTCATGAAAATGTGTATAATGAAAAAAACTGAATGAATTTCAAAAATTTTTGGCACCAAAATAAACACTTTTTAATTGCATTTTCCATGAAGTTTTTGGAATACCCTAGTATTTCTTGATAATCTGGATTTCCTCTTTCATGAAGGAAAAGACTTGAGTCTTTTGCAGGGCTCTTTGCACTGTGTTAGCTCTTTCTTCTTGCTGATCTGAAGGAGCTCCTCCTATCTGCTGGCAGTGATGCTTCTGTTGTTCATGCATCAGATGTCTTCTCCCAGCTGGTGGCTTGACTTTTCAGTCTGTTACCGACATCTTTCAGATAGGCAGTTTTAAAAGAATTTAAAATATGGAAAAGGTTAAGTAAACAAGTGGGTAATAACTTTTTAGTTATTTATGGTATATCCATTTGCTTTTGAATATTCTACTTGATAGTCATTGTTTCTATAGTTTAATTAAAACATTTTCAAGGCGTTACAAGTATGGAGGGAAATAGATAGTCTCTTCCTTAGAGTCAACACCTTTTTTACTTTTGTGGGGAGCAACTCGGACTAGACTAAGTTACTGGAATTAAGACTTATTCTATGCATCTGCTCTCCCACAATATGGCGCTGAGAAGGGAGTAACAGCTTCTACACAGCTGCCTCCAGTTCAACCAATAAACTGTAGGACCTGCTCCTGATTGGAGAAGAGCAGTGTACTCAGCATGTGGGTAGCAGAGTTGGGATTGGCGGAAGAGGACTATAAAGGAGGAGAGAGACAACATGCACCAGGAACACCTGAGGAACACCTGAGCAGCCCCCGAGAGAGCCGGCCGGCGGTGTGCCACTCCCCCGCGGAAGTGGGGAAAGTGGCTAGGGGGAACCGCCCTTCCACGGAGGTGGAAGGGATGGTAGCCAACCCGGAAAGAACCAGCAGCAAACCTGGGGAGGGCCGAGCAGACAAAAAGAACAGCGCAGGGTCCTGTGTCATTCCTCCACGAAGACGGGGAGCGACATAATGGTGCCATGACTCGGATATGAAGCCTAGGCAGGGTTTAGTGTCGTTCCTCCACGAAGAGCGGGAACGACATAATGGTGCTGTGACTCGGATAGGAAACCTAGGAGGGAAGAAACGGGAAGAAGTGGGAAAATACCAGAGAGAGAGACTAGCAAAGAGCCTAGGGAAAAGCTGGACAGAAAAGGTGCCGGAAGAAGCTATCGAAAGCCTAGGCATAGACTCGGATACGGACTGTGGGAAAGAAGTTAGGATTGAAAGCTAGGATTTAAAGTGAAAGCAAGTAGAAACTTAGATACGGACTGCAGGTTGAAAGTGAAAGTGAAACCTAGAAGAAACTTAGACTTGGATACGGACTGTGGGGAGAAGCCAGGAGAAGTGAGAGGGGAATATTGTTGGAAGAAAACTTAGGGAAACATACCGGGTAGAGAAAAATGTTAGGGAGGATGAAGCTGCGGGGGCAGGCCGAAGCGGAGACGTAAGCCAGCTTGGAATTCTTTAAGTCAGCCCGGGGAGCAAAAGGCGAAAAGTTAAACCAGAGGCGGAAACGTGGGCCAGGTTGGAATCCATCAGATTAGCCCGGGGAGCAAAAGACGGGAAGCCAAACCATAAGGCGGAGACGCGTAAGCTAGGTTGAATTCGCCAGGTTAGCCCGGGGAACTTAGATTGAATACCGGTGGCGGAAACGTAAGCTATGCTGTGTGATTCGCGGAAGCTGCTGCGCGCAGAGAGAGCGCGCGGGGCACTAACGGGGAGAGCGCACGGGGCGCTAATAGAACGCAGGGCTGGCGCGAAGGCCATGGTGCGGGCGCTAAGGGTGCGGAGACCGCGGAACGCGCAGAGCCGGGAACCCACCGCGGGCGAGGCGCCGAGAAGCAGCCTCGGGGCGGGCGCCGGGAAGCTGCGGGAAGTTTAGAAGTAAAATGAGAGAAATAGGAATGCTGGTAGATAGAAGTAAAATAGGAGAAATAGGAATGCCCGGAGATAGAGAAATAGAGAAAAATAAGGCCTCCCCACAACACGGCAATGAGAGAGCTTGGATTCGGTCTGCCTGATTAGTAAGATGATAAGCACCTGTGGGCGGCTGCAGGTCACCGAAGACAGGCACTTTATCAACATCAATAAGTCTCCCCACAATACGGCAATGAGAAGGCTTGGATTCGGTTTGCCTGATTGCTAGGGCTTGTAAGCACCTGCAGGCAGTTCTAGCAGAGCAGAGCATGCGCTGCAGGGTACTGAACACAGGCACGCATCAGCGCCTAAAAACCTCCTCACAACATGGCGAAGAGAGGACCCGGATTCGGTTTGCCTGATTGGTAGGGCTTGTAAGCACCTGTGGGCAACTCCAGCAAGCAGAGCAGAGTGTGTGCCGCGGGGCACCGAAGACAGGCGCGTATCGCCAAAAATAAGAAAGGGTGATCTGTGGGGAGCAACTTGGACTAGACTAAGTTACTGGAATTAAGACTCATTCTATGCATCTGCTCTCCCACAATATGGCGCTGAGAAGGGAGTAACAGCTTCTACACAGCTGCCTCCAGCTCAACCAATAAACTGTAGGACCTGCTCCTGATTGGAGAAGAGCAGTGTACTCGGCGTGTGGGTAGCAGAGTTGGGATTGGCGGAAGAGGACTATAAAGGAGGAGAGAGACAACATGCACCAGGAACATCTGAGGGAACACCTGTGCAGCCCCCGAGAGAGCCGGCCAGCGGTGTGCCGCTCTCCCACGGAAGTGGGGAAAGTGGCTAGGGGGAACCGCCCTTCCACGGAGGTGGAAGGGTTGGTAGCCAACCCAGGAAGAACCAGCAGCAAACCCGGGGAGGGCCGAGCAGACAAAAGAACAGCGCAGGGTCCTGTGTCGTTCCTCCACGAAGACGGGGAGTGACATAATGGTGCCGTGACTCGGATATGAAGCCTAGGCAGGGTTTAGTGTCGTTCCTCCACGAAGAGGGGGAGCGACAACTTTGTCTCAGGCGTTCTGACCTACCGCCATTCATGAAAATGTTCTTCTATGTTACTTTCTAAATTGTAGAGTTAATTCTGTGCTCTTTGGATATCAAGCACTGTGGAATGATTTTGTATTTGGCATGCGGTCAGGGTCTCTCTCTCTCTCTCTCTCTCTTTTTCTTTCTTGACATAATGGTACCCAGTTATCCTAGCAATGTTTAGAAAAGTCTGTCCTTCCCCCACCACACTCCATGTTACCTAGCACACGTTGCTGAGTGCTTGGATATGCTTCTGAACTTGTTCTGTTCTGCTTGTCTCTGACTATTAACTGACCCACAGTTAATTCTAACTGAATGATTTCCTCTATCTCTGGATCTCTGATAGGGCATGCTCATTCATTTTGTGCCTGTTTTGTTTTGTTTTAAGATTTATTTATTTATTTGAAAGGCAGAGTTACAGAGAGGCAGAGGCAGAGAGGGAGAGACAGAAACAGAGGTCTTCCATCTGCTAGTTTGCTCTCCAGATGGCCAGAACAGCTGGAGCTGAGTCTATCTGAAGCCAAGAGACAGAAGCTTCTTCTGGGTCTCCCACACTGGTGCAGTGGCCCAAGGCCTCAGGCCGCCTTCTACTGCTTTCCCAGGCTAGAGCAGAGAGCTGGATCAGAAGTGGGCTCTGAACCAGGCGCCCATATAGGATGTCAGCCCTGCGGGTGGTACCTTTACCCACTACACCACAGTGCCTGCCCCTGTTTCTGATTTTTATCCATCCTGAGATAATTCCATATATAATTTAGAATCAGCTTATTGGGTTTCTTTTTAAAACTTAATTAATTTCATTGCAGCTGCATTGGAGGAGACTTGATCTATTTACAACCTTAAGACTTGCAATCTCTGACTATTGATATAGGTATTCTGTAATGCCTAATAATAGCATTTTATACTTTACTCCAAAGTCTTGAGATGTTTTGTTAGATTATTTCTTAAATATTTATGATGCTATCATGAATGCTATGTACCTAAAAATACTATTTTTACTTTCCATTTTCTACTATATACTTGTATAATTCTTTTTTTGTATATTGATTTTAATTCTCTCCAACAAAATAACGTATCTAAACTTTCTTTTGGATTTTATACCTACAAATTCATACCATTTTAAAATAGTGATTGTTTCTTGCTTTGTGATCCTTATGTTTTTTATTGCTTCATTGCATTAATTGGAACTTTTAGTACAATTCAGATTAGAAGTGGTAATATTGGGTATCTTTGTCTTTGTATTGATCTTAGAATGAGGATTTGCTATCAAATACAATGTTGTAGGGTTTTTTTTTTTTTTAATCCTTTTTTCAGATTATAGGAATTAGGGCTCTTCAATTCCATATTTGCTTCAAGGTTGTTTTTTCTTTTTCATCACAAATGAATGCAAATCTTAAAAAATGGTGTTTCAGCAACCTTTAAGATCATCTCATTAATTTTCACCTTTAGTATGATTCGGTCCTCTGTTGTTTTATGACAAGTCACAACATTCGTTAGTGGACTGAAGTGACCACCTTCTTTTATTTCTTTTTTAATATTTTATTTATTTATTTGAGAGGTAGAGTTACAGACAGTGAGAGGGAGAGACAGAAAGAAAGGTCTTCTGTCCACTGGTTCACTCCCCAAATGGCCGCTACGGCCGGCGCTGCTCCGATCCAAAACCAGGAGCCAGGTGCTTCTTCTAGGTCTCCCTTGTAAGTGCAGGGGCCCAAGGATTTGGGTCATCTTCTGCTGCTTTCCTACAGCAGAGAGCTGGATTGGAAGAGGAGCAGCCGGGACTAGAACCGGCGCCCATATGGGATGCCGGTGCCGTAGGTGGAAGATTAACCTGCACCACAACGCTGGCCCCAATTACCACCTTCTATATCATGCTTCTGCAGCCTGTGGGTGGGAGGGCTCAGTAAGGCTGCGGTGCTTCTCTTTTTTGGGTGCCCTGGTGAGGTTGCAGCGAGGTGATGTCTAGGGCTGCAGGCATCTGGGAGTGTGGTTTGGAGGTCAGAACATCCAGGATGGCTTGCTGTGTGTCTGCAGCCTGGAAGTCGGTATAGCTTGTGTGACTGGGTGGCTGGGCTTGTCTTCCTCAGTGCCGTCTCAGAGCCCCTTTCTCTCTATGGAGTCTTCTTGAGGTCTCTCTAGCCAGAGCCTCAGGGACCCCCAAAGTAAAAAAGCAGGTGCTGCCAGTCCTCATTAAGACAGGCTACTGGCTGGCACCGCGATTCACTAGGCTAATCCTTTGCCTGCGGTGCCAGCACCCCAGGTTCTAGTCCTGGTTGGGGCAAGAGATTCTGTCCTGGTTGCTCCTCTTCCAGTCCAGCTCTCTGCTGTGGCCCGGGAGTGCAGTGGAGGATGGCCCAGGTCCTTGGGCCCTGCACCCGCATGGGAGACCCGGAGGAAGCAACTGGCTGCTGGCTTCGGATCAGCGCAGCACACTGGCTGTCGCGGCCATTTGGGGGGTGAACCAACGGAAAAAGGAAGACCTTTCTCCCTGTCTCTCTCTCTCTCTCTCTCTCTCTCTCTCACTGTCTAGCTCTGCCTGTCAAAGAAAAAAAAAAGGCAGGCTACTGAAGTTGGCACAGCATCTTTTCTACCATCTTGCTTTGACTAAATTAAGTCACAGGTCAAGCCACATTCAGGCAAGAAAGGGGCTACATAAGGCTATGATGCCAGTAGATTATCTTTAAAGAATGTGATGATATATTCATGGGGTAGATGATGTCAAAAATGTCCTAATATCTGGAAGCCTTTCATCCTTAGGACAGACCCAACCTAGTCATAGTTATTTGTCTTTAATCTAGGACTTGCTTAGCACAGTTCATTAAGGTTTTTTCCTTCAAAAATATTTTAAGAAAAAATTTTAGTCCTATTTGCCTAAAGAATTCAATAATATTCTTACATGAAAAAAAGCTGAAGCACCAAGTTCTCTCCTTTACATCCTGAGACTGAAGTGCCTTAATCCTTCCATGGAGGGACACTGGACCCATGTTCCCAGCCTCGTGTCACTGGGACCTTACAGGCAGTGATTTTGCTCGGTGGCAGTCACACTGGCACATCCTGTTTCCTGCTGATGATGTCCTCTTGTACACAAAGGCACTCAGAACACCCTGCTCTGGCAATGAGATGAGTCTCCCGGCTGCCCCCTCTTGTATGTGACCTCACAATAGCTACATTGGTAGAACTATGACAGCAACTTCCTGCAGTTCCCTGGTGCCTAACAGACAGAGGGTGACTCAGTGCCTCTGACAGGGAAGTAATGTTCCTTTTCAGTGATTGAATTGGTCACTTTCCTGTCTCCACCCTTCACATTTGCAGATCCTATCATGCATTTAGCTTGTGAGAAGACTAGGGGGGCTTTGCTACAAGGTGATCTGGATAACCTTGAGTTACTATTATAACAGATTGCATTGAAATATTATAAATATTATAACAGTATATGCAGGCACTGTACCATAGGCTACGCAGATTGCAGTAGACAAGACATGGCCACAGATTTATCAGTATTCTGTCCCCTGAGAGTTGAGTGTCTGACCTCACCCCCTGAAGCTCATGAGCCCTGAAACTGCCTTGAGAGGAAGGGTATGGAGCAGGTGATACTGTGACCATACCCAGGCCCAGGCCCTCATAGATGAGCAGCTTCCACTTCTTGTCTGCCAGAACACCTGTTCACTGAGAAGCCAGCTACCAGATAAGAAATCCAATAACCTTGAGCCCACCAAGCTGTAAATAAGGCCAAATTAGTCTCAGAGGAATGGGAAGACCTAACTGGCTGCAACCCAGCTAGTCTAGCCACCCCAGACATGTGCAAAGAAGGCCCAGCCTCACCTACCACCTGACTGCAACCTCGGAAGGGACTCCGTGGGAGTACCCCTCCCTATCCAAGCCTGTCAACCCCCAGAACTGTGAGGGAGAAAAATAAATGGTTATTTTAAGCCATTGACTATTGAGGTGATTTTTGCCTTAATAGAAAACCAGAATGTAAATTACATTATTTGGTTTCCATTAAATCTCTGCGAGGTAGGGACTGTCTTATGCTTATTTTTCAGATGATCAAACAAAGATGATATGATCTGCTCCGGTTTGTTCAGCTAAATTAGGGTCGAGTTGGGATTTCACCTTCAGCCTATGTGACTCCAAGACTTCGAAGGGTTTTTGCAGGCCTGGAACAGTAATTGTGATATTCCTTCAATTGTTTATAAAAAAGAGGGCTGTTGATTGGTACTCACAGGGTATTTTATCCTAGATGGATCAAACTTCTAGCAGTAAGAACAAGTGAGGTAGAATTTGGCAAATTTGTATGATTGGTTTGAAAAATAAACTTAGGTCCCTATTCGGCAGAGGCAGAGTCTAGTGAGGGAGGTTTCTGTGGCACTTTCCAAGGCGTGCAGGAGGGCAGAAGAGAGGGCTCGTATACCCCACTGTTTTATCCGCACTGCTCCGTGTACCTGTAAACCAAAATGTTCCCATCAGCCAACAGGAATTCGATACTTCAGGTATCAACGGTCCTTATGTCTTTTTAGACCAAGTATTTTGGAGACATTGGTTACTGGTTAGCATTGCTTGGTGACTCTAGATTAGTCTCAGAACTCAAGAAACTACAAGAGGCCCACAAAAAAAGATAACGTCGGTGATAGAGATATCTAACAAGTGGTTCTCACTTGGTATGCATAAAACAACCATAGGGGGCAGGGCTGCTAAAAAATTCTTGTTGCCTGGGCTGCACTCATGAAAATTACATCAGAACTGCTGGAAGTGGGACTGGGAAGGCATCAGTACTTCCATTCAAGGTTCACTGATGATTCCAACATGTAGGTGAGGTTGAGAACCTCTGTCCAGTGCACAGAAACATTAGAGATGAATATGCTCACACACACCCCTCTGACCTCTTCTGTCCCCATCAGATCATTCATTCATTCATTCATTCATGTGACCTTTATTGGATTTCTTCTGTGTACTCATTTGGGATCATGACTGCACCGACTGACAGTTTATAGGAGGAGAAATCAGCTAGTTTGTGGAGAAGGATGGGTTGAGTTGGAGTTGTGTTATGTTTGAAGTGGAACAGACATTCTGTTGGAGACAGAGTGTGTAAGTTTCAAGTTTAGAGTGAATGAACACCATGAGTGTGCTTTTTGTCGCTCCCCGTCTTCATGGAGGAACGACACAGGACCCTGCGTTGTTCTTTCGTCTTCTCGGCCCTCCCCGGGTTTGCTGCTGGTTCTTCCCGGGTTGGCTACCGTCCCTTCCACCTCCGTGGAAGGGCAGTTTCCCCTGCCACTTTCCCCACTTCCGCGGGGGAGCGGCACACCGCCGGCCGGCTCTCTCGGGGGCTGCTCAGATGTTCCTCAGGTGTTCCTTCAGATAGATGTTTTTTGTACATGTTGTCTCTCTCCTCCTTTATAGTCCTCTTCCTCTAATCCCAACTCTGCGACCCACACGCCGAGTACGCTGCTCTCCTCCAATCAGGAGCAGGTCCTGCTGTTTATTAGTTGAACTGGAGGCAGCTGTGTAGAAGCTGTTTCCTCCTCTCCCAGCGCCATATTGTGGGAGAGCAGATGCATAGAATAAGTCTTAATTCCAGTAACTTAGTCTAGTCCGAGTTGCTCCCAGTTGCTCCCCACACTTTTGATTATTTCTGGATACCAGTGTATAGAGCCCACTCCTCTGGACAGTGTTGCCCACTTTGGATTCGGCTTAGACCCCCAGGGAAGTGTAAGAGAATTCTACCTTCAGGGAAGAGAGATGATGTGTACCTACGACTTGAAAGAATCTCAAGCAATTCCGTTACATGTCCCCAAGGAACCAACTTTCACTCTGATGCTCCCCCAAAGGAGACAAAAAACTAAAGTGAAACAAAATTGAAAAGCGTCATGTTAGTATATCAGCCATTGTTCAAGTTACTGCTACTAACTCTCATGTAAATATTTCCCACTGTTAATGTTATTTAAAGAATGATGTCCTGCATTGTATCTTTTATGGCTCACTAAGACCTGTGCGATCTGGTTCTTGGCCATCCTATGATCTCATTTCCTCTACAGAGTCTGCTCTGGCTCTGGGGTGGGGGTGGGGGTGGGGGTGGAAGGGTGGATTCCAGAACTACTCTGTAGATGTCAACTTCTGCAGATACTCAACTTCCTTCTGTAAACTGGCATAGTATTTGAACACAGCATCTGCACATCTTCCCAGCTCTAGATACCTTATTAAATGTAATACAATGCAAATGCTACATAAATATGGGTTAGAATCTATATTTTAGGAAATAATGATGAGGAAAAGTTAGTCCATATTCAGTATAAATGCAGGGTTTTTTTCTACAAAATTTTTTTCTATCCGTGGTTGGTTGAATTCACAGGTATGGAACACACGGATATAATAGCCATGAATTTGGAGAACTGACTTGACTTTATTCCTCACTTTGCTCAAACCACACTGACCTTTTAATCTATCCTGTGAATGCACCAGGTCCATTCTCATTCGGGATCTGTGCTCTACTACTCTTTCTGCTTAACATCTTATTTCTCCAAATGTAATTATAGTTCTTTGGGTCCCAAAATTCAGATGTCTACCCCAAATCCAGCTCCACTTTCTCAGAAAACCTGTGTTCACATACTGCAAAGGAATCCTATTAAAAAAAAAAAAAAGATTTAAAAGCAAGATTTATTTAAGTCAGAGACCTCCAGCCAGAGTGGTGTGGAGGGAGGCTCCAAGAGAGGCAAAACCAATAGGGGCCAGTAGTACTGGGGTTTTTAAGCACCATTTTGGGGAAGAAAAAAACTTATCAGTTGCCATTCAGGTACAAGGTGGGGACAAAACCCAAAAAAGACCTGTTTTGCCCTTTTTACCCTGTCTTGCTCCTGAGAAAACAAAGAGCCATCAGAAGGGTGGGAGACCTGATCTGTTTCACAGTAAACTGGGAGTTCCGAAGGGTGAACTCACCACTCCCTTGCTGTTCTCTCAAGATTGGAAGCTCCTAAGGAATGGGGCAGGCACTTTTAATCTTGCTAAAGGTAACTTTTGGGGAAAGCAAGCATTTTGCACCTTAAATTCTGCTGGGGCCAACCTGACTGCCTGTTACCCCATCTGATTCCTCACATTCCCTCCCCAAGAAGAATGGACCTTAACTTCTGTTAGGGATGTAGGTTAGTGAGTGCTCTGGCTTCTTCAGGCTTAGTAGGTGTGGGATAGAGAACGGCAGCAAGACAGGAATCCTATTTAAAAACTTGAAATAAGCATAATTTTTATATTTATATACTGTTTGTAGTACTGTTTAACTCCACAAAGACAAGATTTTTGAATTTCTAATTCCCTTCCCAAATTAGGACATAGTGAAGTAGACAATAAATAGCTTTTTCAAAGCTCCCTTGGTGATTCCTTTATGCATCCCAAGTGAGAAATACTCATTAGATACTACTAATGCTGAAGTTACTTTTTCATGGGCCTCTTATAATCTTCCCTATTAAGTGAATTACGATGCTCTCCAGCTCTAGAATGGCACCAATCAATGCTAATTACTGAAGTTGTCCCCAGAATACTTGGTCTAAATAGAGACCTGAACTGTTGATGTTTACCTGAAGCATCAGATTTCCATTGACTGGTGGGAACGTTTTGGTTTATAACATACACAGACCTTTTGTTAGAGAAGAAACTAGGGATGGTGTATGAGCTGAATTCAGAATTTTCCACATTAGTGTATTTCTTGGTCATTACATGTTAAAATAAGACAGGAAAGTAACTTAACAGTCCTTGTGGGAGCAGGAATGGGCTCTGACATTTTGAAGGTCACTTCTCTCCCTAAGGGAAGTATGCAGGAAAACAGAGCCAGGGTCATTCCCTAAGCCCATCTCTTGGATTATATGAGGAAGACACCAGTGGCATTGATGGACACTGTGAAGCACCAGGTTGATTGAAAAAAGAAATTAAACCAGCAAAATCCCCTTTTCAAAGGAAATCAAGCTGTAATCCCAGTTTCTCAAAGTGATCAAAGTGGAGTAGCTGTGTTTGAAGTGGTGTTTGTAGCCTGGAGGCCAGCTCAGTCCAGTCTGCCTCATACAATCCTTATCCCCAGGTGGCCCTGGAGGACTGAGCCTAGGGCTCTGCCTAATATACTCTGAAAACTGCTGTCCCAGATGATGACCTTAGGAGTAGCAATTACAGGTCCCTCCTGGTTAAGCACACCTGCCATAAGGGAACTAAACTAATGAATAATACATACAATGTAGTGTGGTTTATTTGGCTTCAGTGTTGAACATGACACTGAGATTAACCAAGTTGAACCCTTTCTAAAGACATTTCAGTGCATGTGAGTATCACCTGGAACCTAAATAAACTGCAGATTCTGATTCCATAAATCTAGGACAGGCCTCAGATTGGCATTTCTGACAAGCTTCCAAGTGCTGCCAATACTTTGAATACCAGGGCTTCGAATCACAATTCCTGCATCTGAGTCCCCTGTTAAGACTTACTAAAAATATAGCAAGGGGCCCAATCTCAGAGTGTCTGGATCTAGCCTTTTGGTTATGGGACTGGAAATTTTTGTCTTCCATGAGATCCCTTGATTTTTCTCATGTTCACTACATTTGAGAGCTGTGCTCTAGTATATGTAAACCTTAGTATCTTACCCTTCAGGAACCTCCAGGGAGAGACCCTGACACTCAGCCAGTGCCGGGGATGGTGGAGGGTTTGGAGATCATGTAGTGCAACCTTACTGATTAGTGTTCTATCAAGTGCCTGTCACCGTCTGGCTTCAGAGCCCAGATACTCCAGAGGGAAAGCATCCAACTTCCCAATCTTGCTCTGTCCAGATCCCCATGAGCCTAACTTTGTCACTGCTTCTCTGTGCGGCTTCTTAAGGCAAGATACCACGTCTCCCTCTTCTTCTGCTGAGTTTCCAAAGCTTAGGACAATGCCGGCTGGGTACTGTTGTAATACCTGATGCGCTTGAGCAATATCAATTATATTCAAAAATCTTCTTAAGTGTTGTCAAGGCTAAAACATAAGAACTGTTCCCAAATAAAATGCCAAATTTCTTGTAAAAGTCAGAATACAGTAGGCATTAATAACAGTCTGGGATGGGCATTTGATGTAGTGGTTGGGATGCTACCACACTCTGCATCAGAGTACCTGGGTTTGAGTCCTAGCTCCACTTCTGATTCCAGCTTCCTGCTAATGCAGACCCTGGAAAGTAGCAGGTGATAGCTCAAATAATTGGATCCCTGCCAACCAAATGGGAGACCTTGGCTGAATTCTTTTTTTTTTTTTTCTTTATTTGACAGGTAGAGTTATAGACAGTGAGAGACAGAGAAAAAAGTCTTCCTTCCGCTAGTTCACTCCCCAAATGGCTGCTACAGCCGGCGCTGCGCGCCGATCCAAAGCCAGGAGCCAGGAATCTCTTCCCAGTCTCCCATGAGAGTGCAGGGGCCCAAGCACTTGGGCCATCCTCCACTGC